TGCTGCCACTGCCTCACAAGGCACGTACATATGTACTTCAGAAAGAGCTTTTACTTAATAAAAATTCCTACAGAATACAGTATGGAACCACTCTGGCCCTGATGCAGTTAGAAATGCATTCTTTCTTTCAAGATGGTTGTGTAACATCACACAGTTCCTATAGGTAAATTCTTGATCCCCAAATTCTCCATGTATTAATAATGAGCAGAGTTACAAAAGAATTTCAGTATTTAACAATGCTAAAAAGATGGTGATACTGGAAGTAATTTTTCAAAATATTTCCCTACTGTGTGATGGAAATCTAAGGATGCAAAACCTGCTGTTTTGGTTTAATGACTATATTGATATTTAGCTCAATGCCATTCCTGAGTAAAGATACTGGGTGTGCACTGTGGACCCAGGCCCCTTGGGTCTGCGGTGAGTACGGGTGGGTGTCATGTGCCGAGTTGCATTGCCAACCTCCCTTTCTCCACCTCCTCTGCAGCCCCCAGGCCCCGAGGAGCTTCCCAGTTCTAGCGAGGACAGTCGGGAGAACCTGCTGCATCAGGCCATGCAGAACTCCGGCATTGTCCTTGAGCGGGTCACTGGGGAGGAGGGGACCCTGGAGCAAGCCTCTCCTGCCACGTCCAGCCCCCAGCCCCTGGGAGATCGTCCCCCAGAACTGCCGCTGCTGGAGGTGGAGCAGGTGGAGACAGTAGGTGCCTGCGCTGCCGGTGTCCTCCTTCCTGGTTGCTCTTTCCTGGGGTCTGAACCTTGGGTACAAGGTCACCATGCTGGCTGGGCTGCCAGCCTCCTTGCTCTTCTCCCTGCTGTCACTTTCTGCAGTGACTTTGCCCCCTATTGTGTTTACCCCTGGGCCCACAATGGAGGGTGGGGGTGCTATGGGTCTGTCGTTGGTTCTGCTGGGGCCCAGCCTGCAGTGGGTGCTAGAGGTGTGCTGTGGTTCCCCAGCAGGTGGCCAGCGAGGCCTCGGCTCTTCCCAGGACCCACCCATGCCCTCAGTGTAGTGAGACCTTCCCAACAGCGGCCACGCTGGAGGCCCACAAAAGGGGCCACACAGGTAGGTGGCAGGAGGGTGGGGCACTAGGTAGTGGATGACCTGTGGGTGACCAGGATTGTTCCTTGGGTAGTGGGCGGTCCAGGTGGCCTGTGGGCAGGCAGCAGGTGGTTAGGGTGGTACCCTCAAGGGGTAGACCTGGCCTGATCTTGTGTGCGGCCCCAGGGCCGAAACTGTTCACGTGCGCACAGTGTGGCAAGGCCTTCCCCAAGGCCTACCTGCTCAAGAAGCACCAGGAGGTGCATGTGCACGAGCGCCGCTTCCGCTGTGGGGACTGTGGGAAGTTATATAAGACTATCGCCCATGTCCGTGGCCACCGGCGCGTCCACTCAGATGAGCGACCCTACCCCTGTCCTGAGTGCGGCAAGTGCTACAAAACCAAGGTGGGCCCTCCAGCCCTGGCCCCTGGCCTCTGACCCCCTACCCATTGGCTCCCCACTCCCTTGGCCAGATTTATTCCTTGTTCCTGCCCCAGCCCTCCCTTGTCACCCCCTTGCCACCAGCCTGCTCTGTCTTGGCCTGGCGCCTTCCCCCTGACCCTTGAATCCTGCCCCCTCCCTGACTTTAGAGGGCAGCAGGGAAAGCCTCAGTATGAGCCTTGGCCTAGGCCAGGTTGGCCCTGACGGTAGGTCTTCACAGAATGCCCAGCAGGTGCATTTCCGGACACACCTGGAGGAGAAGCCGCATGTGTGCCCCTTTTGCAGCCGAGGCTTTCGGGAGAAGGGCTCGCTGGTGCGGCATGTACGGCACCACACAGGCGAGAAGCCCTTCAAGTGCTACAAGTGTGGCCGTGGCTTCGCTGAGCACGGCACACTCAACCGGCACCTGCGCACTAAAGGTTGGGGCTGGCGGGTGGCGGGAATTGGCGAGGGATGGCAGGCGGCCAACCCTGTCCAGTCCTGCCTAGCCCTGACCAAGCTCCCCACTTCAGGGGGCTGCCTGCTGGAGGTGGAGGAGCTGCTAGTGTCTGAGGAGAGCCCCACAGCAGCTGCTACTGTCCTCACTGAAGACCCGCACACTGTGTTGGTTGAGTTCTCATCTGTGGTGGCCGACACCCAAGAGTACATTATTGAGGTGGGTGTAGGGCCACTGGGACTGGGATGGGGCCCAGGGGCAGGCAAAGCTGACCTCTGACCCTTTGTTCAGGCCACTGAGGACGATACAGAGACCAGTGAAGCCACAGAGATCATTGAGGGCACCCAGACAGAGGTGAGGGACTGGGGGAGGTGTGGGGAGGGGCAGCCTGGCACCCTCACCCAAACTCATGGGCTGAGCCGTGAGCCACCCACAGGTGGACAGCCACATCATGAAGGTGGTACAGCAGATCGTGCACCAGGCCAGCGCTGGGCACCAGATCATTGTGCAGAATGTGACCATGGACCAGGAGGCAGGACTGGGTTCAGAGGCGGCTGCTGCCGACACCATCACCATCGCCACCCCCGAGAGCCTGACGGAGCAGGTGGCCATGACACTGGCCTCGGCCATCAGCGAGGGCACTGTACTAACGGCCCGTGCAGGCGCAAATGGCGCCGAGCAGGCCACCGTGACCATGGTTTCATCGGAGGACATTGAGATCCTAGAGCATGCGGGTGAGCTGGTCATCGCCTCACCCGAGGGCCAGCTCGAGGTGCAGACTGTCATCGTCTAGCGTGGGTGCCTGTAGGGTCCTGCCGGGCTGGGCCGTGTCAGGTACAAGGACCCTGAGCACCCTACCCACGCCTGCCTGACTTGGTAAAGAGAAGACGAGGCACAGAATTCAGACATTCAGAGAAGTGGGAGTGTAAATAAGTTTTTGTCGCTTTACAATAAAATATGAAAACCTACCACTTGTGATGTTACGGCAGTGGCAACCTTGGGCATTGGTACCACTGCCCTGGCAAGTTCCCCGTGGCAGCACCTGTCTGCACAGGCCACCCTTTCGACTCTTGTTCCTGGCTACCCCCACCCTGTGCACCTGACAGGGCTGGCGGCACTTTGGCGGTGCGTGGGTGTCACTGGCATGTGGATAGGCAACCTCCTGATGCTGCCCTGCCCACTGGGAGCTGTGACTCCAGCTTCCTGAGTCTTACCGAGGTGCCCTCGGAAAGGGGATTGAGGCTGGGGGACCAAGAGCCTCTGATGACTTGTAGGAAAAACAGCAGGAGACAGGCCAAGAATGGGGCTGGTCTTTCCTAATTGCACTGCTTTAGTTTTCCTGAGGGGATGCAGCTCCAGGAAGGAGATTCTAGGTGACCTAGTTTCTAGGGGGTGGGGACAAGAACAAAGCCTGGACCATGGGCATGGCTGGCCCTTTTCCCCAGTCCTGATGCAGTTCCTGGGGTGTTGACAAGGTCTTCTGAGTCCCAGTTCTGACAGACTTGGGAGCCCAGAGCAGGCTCAGAGTGGATTCCCTGTGGCCTTGCCCTGGGTGGGTGGCGGTGTCTCCATGGGAATGGGAGCCAGGAATTCTAGTGTCCAGCTCTGTAGAGGGGGTGGGACCCAGTGCAGTCTGGCTCCTCCTTGGACCAGGGCCTCAAATACCCACCCATGCCCAGGCGCCAGAGCTATTGCTGGACTGAGCTCTTGCAGTCTGTCCAGTGCCGCGGACACACTCCCAGCCTGGACTTCAGACTCCTACCTGGACTCAGATCCTGAGCATCTGATACTACACCATCCTCATCTTAGGTGAGTCTGGGGGCTTGGACTAGCCAGAGACTGGATCCTCTATTTGGGTTTCAGTTTCTCCACGGAGTAGGAGAATGGTCATGAGCCCATCATACTACCCCAGGGAGACCTAGAGAGTGCAGGGGCACGTTATGCCTTGGTGTCAGCCAACATTGGGCAGCGGACCTTGCCTGGCGCCCTCATGCAGGCGAAGAGTGTTGGGTGCATCCGACTCCAGTTCCCTGCTGATGTGGGCCGTGTCTGTCCCTCCCAGCCCTCCCGCTCCGTGGAATGGTTGGGCCCCGGGCCCTACTGGCCGCCCTCTGGGTACTGGGGGCCACCGGGGCAGCCGCGCTGCGAATTGGAGCCTTCAACATCCAGAGCTTTGGCGACAGCAAAGTGTCGGACCCGGCCTGTGGTGGCGTCATTGCGCAAGTGAGGCTGGGGACCCGGGACGGGGCTGCAGCTAGGTTCCACTGCGCATCCGCCTGCTCACGCATGACCCTGTCCCTGCTGCCCCTTTCCCAGATCCTTGCTGGCTATGACATCATGCTCGTGCAGGAGGTGCGAGACCCGGACCTGAGCGCCGTATCAGCGCTCATGGAGCAGATCAACAGGTGTGGCGGGCAGGGCCCAGTATCGGGAGCTCTGACCAGCATCCCAGGCCTGGGCTTGGTATCTTGACCCAGGGCCTGGCCCATATCTCCGCAGTGTGTCTAGGCACGAATACAGCTTTGTGAGCAGCGAGCCCCTAGGGCGGGACCAGTACAAGGAAATGTACCTGTTCATCTACAGGTGAGGGGCGGGGATGCGGCGCTCGGGGCAGGAGGTGGCCGGCTCAGCGCGCCCACTGCCCTCTGCCCCCAGGAAGGACTCGGTGTCGGTCATGGACATGTACCAGTACCCGGACCCAGAGGACGCCTTCAGCCGCGAGCCTTTCGTGGTCAAATTCTCAACTCACAGCTCGGGTGAGGCCCCGCCCCACTCGGCCCCGCCCCCTGCAGCTCCTGCCCGGCTTCTGACATCCATCCCCTTCCTCAGCGGCTAAGGAGTTGGTGCTGGTCCCACTGCATGCTGCGCCACACCAAGCAGTGGCGGAGATCGATGCTCTCTACGACGTGTACCTGGACGTGATTGACAAGTGGGGCACCGATGTAAGCCCCGCGTCCTCACAGTCCGGGTCCCAAGAGGCGCACCCCGGGGACAACCGTAATGGTATGACTCTCCGTGGCGGGCTCAGACACTAGACCCTCGCCTCCCGCAGGATATGTTGTTCCTGGGCGACTTCAACGCTGACTGCAGCTACGTGAGGGAGCAGGACTGGGGGGCCATCCGCTTGCGCAGCAGCGAGGTGTTCAAGTGGCTCATCCCAGACAGCGCCGACACCACGGTGGGCAACTCAGACTGTGCTTATGACCGCATTGTGGTCTGTGGTGCGCGCCTGCGCAGGAGCTTGAAACCCCAGTCGGCCTCTGTGCATGACTTCCAGGAGGAATTCGGCTTGGACCAGACTCAGGTGAGCACTGAGCCCTCGCCTGAGGGATGGGGTTCCCCAGGCCACCCTCCACAGGCAGGCAGGAGGAGCCAGCTCCCTGCTGCTCAAGGCTGGAACTAACTGCAGTGTACTTGGCCTTTTCTTCCCTAAGATAGTTTCTAGGAAAGGCCCCAAGAGGCTCCATTTTGGCTAAATGGAACAAATCTATGACTGTAGGCTAGGATGCCCTTTGCCTCTCGTGAGGTGGGGTCCCAAGTCTGTGTCCCCACCCCACCTGCAGGCAGCAACAGGGGTGGACAGCCTAGGCCTCACTGATCTGCTCTCTCAGATACAGCAGTTTGCAGAAACCCAGGGGGCTCCACCCCAGGTGGTGGGCAGTTTTCTGAGGTGGAGCCTCAGGGAGGACAGGCTGCCCAGCAGGGCCTTTGAGGCTTGGCCCATTCTCTTTCCAGGCCCTTGCTATCAGTGACCATTTTCCTGTGGAGGTGACCCTCAAGGCCCACTGACAACACTGAAGCCTGGCCAGGACATACTGCCTGCAGACTGGCCATGAGGAACAGCTTCATAGGGCTCCTTCAGGGTGGTATGCCAACCCTCAGAGAGGCTGTGGGAAGGGGCAGCTGGGCCTGGACAAGTGGCCACGGACATGTTTTGGGACCACTCAGAGCTTGTTCCCTCGTCTGTAGAATGGACTACCTAACTACCTCACAGGGGTGTGAGGAGCACCGCAGAGTGCTGGGCATAGCTGCGCTCAATAAATGTGCACAGCGCTAGCCCAGGACCACACACAGGTTGGACTCTGCCTTTCTACGGTACAAACCCTGGTCATTCAGCCTGGCAGATCTTTCAAAAGACAGGCACAGCCTGGCCTGCTCATTTCATGTCCTGCTGGCATCTGTCACCTCCAGACCACTGTAAAGCTTTTAAGAACTTGTAGTGAGTGCAGTGGGGATCAGCATTCGCACACACACAGGTACAGTGTTGACGTGCAAGGCCAACCTCTCAGCCCAATGTCCCTCCTGCAGTCCCACTCCCTGGTCCTCCTGCATAGATGCTCAGGCACTGCTCTGTATCATAGGTCCTATTCCACCCAGCATTCCAGGAGAGGTCAGGGTACAGTCCTGCCCACAGAACCTGCACACCTCCCTGTGGCACAGCCCTTCAACAATGTCTTCCTGGGTAGGTTCCTCCTCAGGAGCCCTGGGCTGGGACAGGACACTGGCCTTTGTCCCGGGTAAGCCCATCACCTGAGGATTGAAAAAAAGCAGAGAGCTGGGATGACACACAGCATAACTGACAAGAGTTTTTAAAACATCACATCTTTGGCAGGATTTGAAAACTGTCCTGAATTTTATGGGAGGAAAAGCCTTTTAGCTTGAATAAGTTTTTCTTGCAAAATCTTTCTAAAATAAGATCTATGACACAGCACAGAATGCCTCTCAAGTAATGCCTCCCTTGTCCCTCTCCAAGTTACCCCATGTCTCTGAATTGTCATACACTCCCTCCAAGTGAACAAACGTGTTGGCCAAAAGGCTTTTCTCTGGGAGGTCTCTGTGGGGGGCGGTCTTGTGTGGACCATCACTGCCTGGCTTTATGCTTTCAGCAACCAGGTAGTACGGAGGCCAGGGGTGGGACAAGCTGAAGACTTTATTCATAATTCTGCCTTGGGAAAGGTAACACTCAGTGGTGACACTGCTGGAGGTCCAGAACAGCCCCATGTGCCAGTTCATGATTCCCAAATCCAGACACTGCCCACCAACCCCACTTGCCAGGCAGGAAAGGCATTCATGGTGATGGGCCTTGAAACACTAGCTACAAGGAACAGGGCCTTCTGAGATGCAAAAAAAAAAAAAAAAAGAGAACTGAAAGAACTTTTAAATTGGAAAATACCTTGTTTAAAACACCTTAGGACCAGAGAATCCCCTAGAAGGATGTATATGCCTAAACCCTGTGCGGGCAGCCCAGCCCTTAGTCTTTATTTTGTTTGAGCTTTGCTAAGTACATCTGCAGGGACTTCTGGATGGAGTCTCTGGAGATAAAGCTGACAAAGTTCTGGATGTCCGTGTCACGACGTTTCACCAGGAGGTCTGCCGTGGGCTTTCGGATCATGTTCTTGGTCAGCTGCCGAGCGTGATCTAAAGAAAACAGGGTCCACTTGTGAAAACACACTGAGACAGTGCCATCATTTCCAACTTTCCCAAGAGAGTTCCAATAGAAACTTTGGTAGAAAACTTAGAAGATACATGTAAACAAAAAAAAAAAAAATAAAATCATCTGTTCCCCACTGCCCACTGATTTCTTTTAAAAACATACAGGATGAAACTATAAAAATTGCCTTTTTAAACTTGTTATTTTCACTCAACTATATTATCCATGACACTAAATATCCTTTTATAACATATTTAATGGCTGCGCAGTATTCAGTCATTTGTCTGAGTCAGGGATTGGCAATCTTGGCCTCCCATGTGAGCTAAGCATGCTCGTTAGTTCACATACTCTCTGTGGCTGCCTTTATGCCATGGTTGTGGCAGAGACCATGTGACCCATAAAGCCAGAAATCTACTTGGTTCTTTAGACAGTCTGCTGATCCTGGTTCCTATCATAGTTGATATAACCAGCTCTATTCCCATGCAGGTTGTTTATAATCGTCCATGTAGTAGGTTGGATAGTGGACCGCAAAAAGATAATCTGTGCAAGTCCTAACCACTCCTTTAGAACCAGTGCATGTGGCCTTATTTGGAAAAGGGTCTTTGCATATGTAATTAAGATGAGATCATCTTGGATTTAGGGTGGGCCCTAAATCCAATGACAAGTGTCCTTATACAAGAAAGGAGAGGGAGATTTGAGTTAAAGGAGACCCTATGAAGATAGAGGCAGGGATTGGAGTGTGTGGCCACAAGCCAAAGAATGTTTGGAACTATCGGAAGCTGGGAGAGGCAGGCATGATCCTCCTCTAGAGCCTCTGGAGTGCGTATGGCCCTGCCTGCACCTTGATTTTGGACTTCTGGCCTCTAGACTATGAGAGAATGCATTTCCGTTGTTTAAAGCAACACCCCCCACCCAGCTCCATTTGTGACAATTTGTTATAGTGGCTCCAGGACACTTAAGTCAGTCGGCATGTTTGTGAGTTGCATAGTGAACCTTTACATGATAAATTTCTGGTCTTACCAGGAGTGTCAGGCTGGGAAGGCAAGAGGAGAAGGGAAGAAAGGAGGCTTTGCTCGCCCACTAGTACCCATAGCTGCCACCCTTCCCTGTGCTCCTCACCTGGAATGGCCAACCACTGGGCCATAACTGAGAGAGCTGTGCTCTGCACCTGGTCCTTGGGCGCCACCTTGTCCACAATGCCCACCTGGAGGGCCTCTGCTGGTGGGAAGAGCAACCCCAGCTGCAGTGCATGCTCCGAAGCGTGGTGCCCAATGATATTCACGAGGGAATCTTTGAACCTGGAAGGCAGACACCCACTCACCTGGGGCTGAGGGCTCCCAGGTGAGTTGGTTCAGCCCTGGGTCAAGTGGAGTGTGAGTACAGTCCCTGGTCTTACCAGAAGGGGACGGAAATGCCCAGCCGGGTCTCATTCAGCCCAATGAGGCACTTGGGGTTGTCAGCCAGGATCCGGTAGTCAGAGGTGAGGGGGATTAGGCAGCCTCCAGCAGCACAGGGTCCCTGCAGGGGAAGCATGACCTTAAGGCTCTGGGTGTTGCTGCTGCTGGTCCCAATCATATTCTAGAGAGCTAGGGCCCAAGGAAAGGCCTGCTGTTGGATGTGAGCTCTTAGAGCTCCTAGCCTCCAGGGTGCTGCACCAACACTGGACTGTGCAAAAGGAGACTCAGGCTTGCCCATCGGCCCCAGGCGCTTGGCAGGGTTAGCAGCTCAGGGCCAGAAAACCGTTCTTCTTACTCTCTGGTCAGGGACGCAAGTTGCCTTTCCTTTGACAGCTTTTGTCTGGATGCTAAATGCCAAATGAGCATTTAGCTGGAGCTGTCATGTCCACAGACCCACTGCCATCCTCAGCAGGATGTCCTTAGAACTCCAAACTCATATAGACCTCACTTCATGTACCCCACTGCCCCAGAGATGGCAGGTCACTGTCAGTGCCCACTACACCCCATGGAGTCGTCCTCTCACCATCTTTCTCCTCTACTAGGCTCAGGGCCTCCTCCCACTTTACTTGGTTTGTTACCACATCTCTTCAAGGCACACTGGTTCTCGAGCCTCAGCTCTACTCCCTTGCCTCAGCAGCCTGCCCCTGCCTTCTCCAGGTCAGGCCAAAATGATGTTTCCAAAAAGTGGATCCCATCCCCCACTTGCTCCTTGTATAGCCCTCTCACTGGGCCATGTCAACCATGGGCCCTGAGGTCCTGCCCCGATCCCAGTGAATGAGTTGACTCCTGTGGCCCCTACCTTGTCACACTGGTCCGATATGGCAAGCTTACCTGTGAATGTCTAAGGGTCTCCCCAAGGCCCTCTTACCCTCAGAGGGCAGGGCCACATCTTCCCCCACCCCTGCCGGCCTCCAGGGAGTCAGCAAGGCCACTCAGGAGTATGGACACTCACATTGATGGCGCTAATCAGCACCAGGTTGGACAAGTAGAGCCGCAGCCACAGATCCTGTAAAACCTTCCAGTACTCGGTGTAGTATGCTGGGTCCTTCCCGCATATTTCCCTCAGGTCTATGCCAGCTGAGAAGGCCTTGGGGCAGTCCTGGGTGAATGAGAGTGCCAGAGCCTCATCAGAGTGTACTCACCAGGGCAACGTGCCCCCAAAGCAGGGGGACCCTACAGGTGCTCAAGGGGCAGCAGGGCACTGCCCCCAGGAGCCGAGCTAAGGCTCCAGGGACTCAGCCTCAACCTCCCTCAGACTCAGTTCCTATGTTCTGGGACGTTCTTCCCTTTCTCAGTTCAAACGAGAAAAGGCAAACAGGCAGGCAAGGTTGGGTGCTACCCCAGGGACATGAACACACCGGGCTCTGTGCACACCTGTGTGTGGCATCCTGGGCAGAGAAACTGAGGTGTGGGGAGGACTCCTGACAGAGTCTGTTGGGGGCACATGTTGATTTATCCCAAAAGGTCAATCAAGCTGTAGACTGGTGCAGACCAGGAGGTGCTGCTGTCTGAAGATAGCCAAGGAAGGACAGGTCAGTGACCAAGATGCTAGACCTCTGCCCTGGGCTGTGACGTACGAGACAGAAGACTGAGGAATGATCTTGAGGGTATGTTTGTCCAATGCAGATGCCCCAGGTCCTGATATAGCTGCCAAGGAAGGGAAGAGGAGCAAACACAGAAGTGCAACAGGCTAGAATAAAGGGCTGCCAGCACAATCGTGTTTTCAAGTGGTGGGCACCAAGTTCTAGGTGTTCGAAGGATTGTTGGCCAAGAATGCAGAGGGGGAAGGGATGATGGCTCAGCAGCCTTCATGCAGAAACATCCAGCCCTGGGGCTCCCGTGTGGTCATAGCACCTCTGAGCAAAGGAGATACTCCCACAGCTGGAGGCTAGGGCACCTGAGGCTGGTGTGACCTGTTAGTGACTGATTCACTAACTAGAACTGACAACAGCTAACACATGCTGCTTGTGAGACCCACCACCACCCATTGTGAGGAGCAGGCAGATAAATAAAATATGGGACAGTCACACTCCATGTCCCCTACATCCATATATTAAGCAACAAAAGCAAGCTGCAGTGCAAGGTGTTGATGTGAACCCATTTTTCTTGTACACACACGTTCTTGTGTGTGGTAACACCTGGAGGTTGACCTTTTGTTTCTATGGAACGTGTTCTACTCCTGTAACTTAAAAAGACCCAACAGAAATGGTAAGATGTGTAACTATTACACCAAGTCTGCTGTCCCTCATGGGTCAGATACAGGGACCTGGAAGCCAGCCTCTGGCTGGGGGAAGAGATGGGAGTGGGGACAGAGTTGCTCTTGTTTAAGAATATGGCAGGACTTTACATTCAGCCTTGTCCTTTTCCCACCATGAGACCCTGGCCCCCTCCCCCTACAGAATCCAATACATTTTATCAGCACAGATCTCTGGCAAGGTAACGACACGTGGGCATAGTCCTAGTGCTTCACAAAGTCAAAGAGTTTGGTTCTGGATGAGAGAACAAATCACAGGATCCTAACGGGGGATGACTCCAAGAGGCGTAGGTAGTGCAGCCTGTTTCTGTGATTTGTCAACAGGTCTGTAGTGGGCCAAGTCATGTCCCTGAAAGATAGGGTTAAATCCTCACTCCCAGGACCTGTAAATATGACCTTACTTAGAAATAGGGTCTCTGCAGATAAGATCAAGATGAAGTCATATTGGAGTAAGGGGGGCCTAAATACCATGACCTGTATCCTAGGAGAGGGAAATGTGGACACGGACACAGGGCAGACATGTTTAGATGAAGAATGGAGTGGCGGAGACAAGTACAGACCACTAGGAGCCCCTAGAAGCTGGAAGAAGCCAAGGAGGAATCTCCCCTAGAATCTCCAGAAGGAATAGGTCCTGCTGATGCCTTGATTTCGATCTGTGGCCTCCAGAACTGTGAGGGAATATACTTCCATTGTTTTAAACTATCCTGTTTGTGTGGAGAGTGGGTTGTAAGCTGACAAAGGTCCTTGCAATCTGCGAGGGCAACCAAGGGTTACCTCACCTCTGCAAACTCCTTCTGAGAACAAGAAAGTATAAATAGAGCTGCAGGCAGGCAAACAAGCTAACAGTTATGAGAAGACCCGGACTGGGAAAAGTAGAAGAAACAGTGTTATGCCTAAGGGAAACTGCTTATGCCAATTATTATGATCCTGTATAAAAGCAGCTTGCAAAAATAAAACTGCGCCATTGTCCACCATCAGTGGACAGTGGACAGTGGACCTCCTGATCCCCGCTTTCTTCTTTCTTTTCTTCATCTCCCACTATTCCCACTCAGGTTTATTTTCCCAGGCTGCGCTGGATGTGGCAGGATTTACCACTTGCTGGATGTGGCATGTTTGTACACTTTGTGATGGTGGCCACAGGACACTAAAATGAGGATCCACTAGGTGGGCCTTGTGCTATATACACAGTAGGCATTCAATACAGAACAAAACATAGACACATTTTGGGGGAAATCATGTAGTGGGGAGAACATGAGCTTCTGGTGGGACAGATGCTGGCTCCTCTCCTTCAGGGCTGTGCGACTTTGAGGTCTGGAGGCAGTAGGGACCCTCACCGTACAACAACCAGCACCAATATGCACACGTGTCCTATATTTGGTGACATGAAGTTCTCTCATTTTTAGAGTACAATAAAGAAAATGTCACGTTATGAAATGACATTTTAAGTATTTTCAGAACTTATCCAGGGTAAAAAGTTCCCAAGCAATTTTAGTATATCCAGGCAGTTGAGCTATGATTGTCAGAAAGTTCCCTGGGATTCTTTCACCAACCCTTCTACAATCTACGACCATAAGTATCATTCCCATCTGTGGAGCAATGCAGAATAATCTCTCCCATGGAATGGGGCCAGGCTTTGCTCTGCAAACCCCAGCGTCAAAAGACCCACGGGGTGTATGCACTCCCAAGTGGGTCTGCACTCCATCTCTTGAGCCTGGTCTTATCTGTGTTCTCTCTTAGTACTCGCGGCTCCTGGTAGAGCAGGTGGGCCTGATGCCCACTGGAACGGGGCAGAAACACATAAGGCCCCTAGTTCTGAGGGCCTAGGTGTTAAAATCAGCCCAGGCTCTGAGGACCGCCTGGCTCCTCTTCTCATCATCCACTACACTCCTAGTCCCACCTTCTTGGGTCCAAAAGATGCTACCTTTTGCCCCTCCCAGGCTTCAGCCATGACACTGCTCTCACACATGTACTTGCCAGCTTGTGGGGGAAATGGTGAGGTTCCCTCTGATAATTCAGAAGGAAAAAAATTGCCCTCTGAGAACTCAACTCTAAAACCTGCCCTAAGAGGAATGGAGAGCATGGCTTTCAGGATAAGCATTGTCACTGGGGCACCCAGGGAGGGCACCTTAGGAATCCACTGCCCAGTTTGCACATGAATCAGTATGGGCTCAAGGTTGTCCCTGCACAAATGTCACCTGCCTGTAAAGAGCTGGATCTGTGCTGCAGATCTTGCAGCTGAAGCATTTGCAAAGTCATGTTGCAATCTGCCAAGGGCAGAGCAGGAAACAAAAAACAGACAGCTTAGCACAGATAACCAAGTACAGATATGCCTTTGGGAGATTATTGTTGCCAGCAAGTTTCAAGTCTCAAGAAGACTCCCACATTCTCCTTGACCTTTAAGTGTATATAATAAATGTGCTGAGCTTGCCTCAGGGTCACTGTATCTCCATCAGAGTGCAGTGTCCCACCTTGCCCCAGCTTTTCCTATAGTATGTCTCTGTGTTTTGTCTGTTTTTCCTAATCCTCCATCACCTGACCCCCTGCCCCTGCCCGCCCCCCGCCCTTAACCCTCTAGTTGTGCAGGTCGTGACACCTGCCCGTGGCCACAATCCCTGGAATCCTCTCTTGGGCACCTACATCTGGGGCCGGTTATTCCACACCATATGACGTGCAGATGGTCTCCAAGTTTGGCACTCTGATCAGAGAACTCGGGGCTTTGAGGAGCTAAGGAGCACTCACCGAAGTTATGATGATGCCTCGGAAGGTCTTGTCGTTTTCCAGTTTCTCCAGGTTGATGACTAACTCCGTCAAAAACTCTAGGCTGAAGCTGTTCACTGGGGGGTTCTTGAGCTTCAACACAGCAATCCCTAGTGTGAAAATGAAGCTCATGTCCAGAAGTGGAAAAGCATCCCCAGTCATCCTACCTCAACCTGGCCATGGGAAGTACACGGTTTTTGGGTTTTTTTTAAATTGAAGTGAGATTCACGTAACATAACTATTTAAAAGTGAACGATTCAGGTCCATTAAGTACATTCACAATGTCGTACAACCACTATCCAGTTCTAGAACATGTCTATCACCCCAAAAGGAAATTCTGTATCCATCAGCAGTCACCATTCCTCCTGCTTCAGCCCCTGACAACCATTGGTCTACTTTCTGTTGCTATAGATTTATCTATTGTGAATATTTCATATAAATGAAATCATATGTGACCTTTTGTGTCTAGCTTCTTTAACATGTTTTCAAGGCTCACCCACGTTGTAGCATGTACCAGTGCTTCATTCCTTTTTAACGCCAAATAATATCCTGTTGTATATTGTATGTTGTATATTGCATGTCTATCCACTCAGGTGCTGATGGACACTTGGCTTGGCCACCTCTTGGCTATTGTAAATAATGCTGCTGTGTGGACATTCATGTACAAATTTTTGTTGCTCTTTTTCTCCCAGATGCAAATCTTTCACTTCTTAAGAAGTGAATGAGCCAACTTTGAGAACTAGATGTGCACGGAGGAATATAGTGAGGTGCTCTGGTTCATGCTTGTTTAAGGACAGAGGGGAAAAATATTGGGGGTCAGATGTTCTTCATTCATTAATTCTGCCAGCAGCACGGAAAGCAGGAGAGACAGGGCCTGCCCTTGTGGACAGTGCGGCTGCTGGCCTGGGGTGGCTAGCGCCATCTGTTTTGTCTGGCTCAAAAGCAGATCTCAAGGGCTTCAGAAATGACACTGTTCATTTAGGGTGCATTTCCCTGGTCGGGATCTGAACTGGATAGGGACCACTCTCTGGTTTATTCAGCTTTCTTACACTTTGGTAGTGGGCACAGGCAGAGTATGGGCTCGGGAGGTTGGGTAACTCCATCCCGCCAGATGTCTGCACGAATCTCTGAATCCGCAGGCCCATGCACGGAGCGGGAGGCCCGGGTTCCAGGGCTCGAGGACACTCGGGGCGGGATGGGAAGGGGCATTAACCTGCAGTGGAACTTGGCTCCACCACCACCAGCTGGCGCTGACTTCCGAAACGCCGCGCAGGGACCTTGCAGCAGGTCGCCCGCTCTTTCCACCAGAAGGCCGCGTCCGGAAGCCCAGCCCCTGTGAAAGTCAGTATAAGGACTGTTAGGCCACCGCCCCACCCCGCGGCCCCCGCCCGAGTCTGTCCACCCGCCAGAGGTTACGCACGGGTGCAGAGCAAGGCACGGACCACGGAGTGCATTCCAACTATGAGCGCCATCTTGACCGGACCGAGCGGAAGTGACTGTGCCACTCCTACTTATGTACCTACCTTCAGAGGCAAACTGTACTCCAGGGCTACCGCCCCGCCTCCCAATGCCTCAACTAGGACGCAAATCTTTTCAAGACCTCACCTCAGGCCACCCACCCCGCTTGGCTTACCAGGTGTAATAGGCGCCGCACCCTAATCTAGGGCTTTACCGTGCGGGTCACTGGGGCTGCGGGGTAGAGTTGCCTGGCCCTTCTCCAAAACCCCATAGGACAGACCCATGCTCCCCCTCCACCCATGGGAGGCTCGGACTCTTCCCACGCTTCCCCACCAAGCACAAGTCAGGTTATCCAAGCAAGAGTGTTGAAACTGGGATAGCACATAGATCACAAAAGTCATGGAGCACAAGTCTCAGAGACAGTTGGGGGCTTAAGGTGTAAAAAGGAGCTTTGGAGATCCTGGCAAGCTCACACCAGGGCTTTCTCAAACTGCCAGCTTTGAAATGTGGTTACTGAAAAGGCAGTTGGGGGCTTAAGGTGTAAAAAGGAGCTTTGGAGACCCTGGCAAGCTCACACCAGGGCTTTCTCAAACTCTGCCAACCTTGAAATGTGGTTACTGAAAAGGCGGCTATAGAGGGAAGGCTGATGGGAGCCATGGGCTGCCTCCTGTCTGTGGTGGAAAAGGAATCAAGGCTGGTAGTTCAGCCACAGGTGTGGGGGATAGCACAGCTTCGCGACTAAGTGCCCACCTTCCCCTATGCCGAGTAGTGTTTGCAGGCACAGCAGGCAGCATTAGGTGCTCACACAACTGATGGAACTGCAGTGCCACCTCCTCCTCAAGAAAAGAAAGGGACACAGTGGATGCTTTTATTTGCTTGATCCTGAATGGAGAAACACTGAAATGATACTCAAGGAACAAAGGTGGTCACCCACCTGGGCAGGGGGAAGGTGAGGCATGGGCGGCAAGCCTTTGTATTGCCGGGCAGCACATGGTTTTGTTCTGACCAGTTTGAACACTGGGCACAATAAGGGTCAAGTATAGTGTCAGGTGATTAAAACTTTTGTTCTTTAACTCCGTGTTTCCAATTCTTTGTGGCACAAATTGTTTAGGAAAAATATTTTTTTCCACAGGTAATATAGCAGCAGCAGCAGCAAATGAGATCCATGTTTCTGGTCAGGCAGAATTCGATGCTCTTGGGAACATAAAGGTGATAAATCATCTCATATTTGTCTGCCGCAGGGGCAACCCAACACTCAGGTACACTGTCCAGTGTCCTCTTGGCTGAAAGACTTCAGAGGTGTAACTTTGGAAACAAAATCAAAATTCTTAGCCAGCCGTTTTTAATTCTCTCACAACTGAAGCTATCTTTGGGGTCAAGGGAGGGGAAAGGAAGGGAGAGGAAGGAGGCAGTGAACCCCATACTCAATCTTCATTCGAATCCTAGGTTTATTCAAGACAATCCTTTCACTCTACACAACAAAGTACAAACGCAACATTATCTAAAATGCTAGTTACCAAAAAAAACTCAAAACAGAAAATTTATAGTACTGACTGTACAATAAAAAGCCAAAAAAGCAATGTACATGTTGCTGAAAGACCACCCACCATGAATAACAGCCACAACGGGGGTGGTGGTGGTGGTCCGTGAAGACCCTACAGAGCTAGTTCCCAACTTGCTCACCAACATCAGAGAGAAGAGTCGGGTGTGAGTGTATGAGTACATGTAAAAACAACCATTTATGGTGACTAACATGAGGTGTTTGACCCTAGAGATTAGAAGGATTCAAGCAGGGAAGCAGGGCCAGTGTAACAGACTAGCAGCTGCATGAAAACACACCCTTTCCTGAAGGATCCCACAGGCCATTAGACTGGCCCCAGGTCATCCATGGAATGGCAAACTGTGCTCCCAGGCTGGGGCTGCACTGCCACCTGGAACCCTGCTCACCCCTGCTGGCTTTATCACCGAACTGACTGGAAACGTGGGAGCTTTCTAGCCAGGAAACTGGAGGGCATCTTCATATGCACAACCCCAAACCAAAAACACTTCTGCAGCTAAATTTGGCCTTCAGAGGAAATGTCTCAATGCTGCCTTCAAGTCTGCCCCTGAGTGAGCATTTCTTTCCTACTGACCCTCCTTCAGTTAGAAAAGGGACAGAACTGAGTCGGATGGGATATAAGTTACAGGGGGCAGAGTTTCGGTGGCCTGCTTATCGAGAGGAATTGGAGCTAGAGCGGCTCCTGTGGCGGCGGCGGCCTGGAGATCGGGACCGCCGGCGCACAGGGGACCTGCGCCTCGGAGAACGTGACCTGTGGGAAGAGGAAAAAACACATCAGACACTGAATTAAACAACATAGGAGCAGCTCTGCATCTTGAACTGCAAGGGTAAAGCCATCTTCTTTCAGAAACACTTCTGTACAGTTTCATGGTTTAACACAGTCAGCACAGCTCCCTTTGGATGGCACTGACACAAAGCCCTTGGGAAGGAAATGGATGTTCTGGAGTACTGGTACAACCTGCAGGGCTGCCCCTTCTGCATGTCCCTCACTCCAGCAGTTGCCCTTCTCTTCCTTTGCCCAGCTTGAATGAACATAATGAGTTTTAAAGGCCGCCCGTGCCAGTGCTACCTTCCCATTCCCATCATGGCGGGGAAGGGGATTGTGTGCATATGGGGGTGAATAGGTCCCAAAGTCATTGTCATTGTATTGTGTTGAAAATAAAACCTAAACCAGCTGCCATCAGCCCTCTGTGAGACCCCAAATTAACTCACCTTCTCCTCATCCGTGGGGGTGACCGGCGCCACATGGGTGGTGGTGGCAGCATTCTCCTGGGAGGGCTGAATCGCCTAGGGGGTGGCCTAGGCCAGGGGGCCAGCACAGCAGTGGCAGTGATTTCCTGGCCATCAATTTGCCCTATTGAAAAAAGGATCAAGTTACAAAATATGTAATAGGCACCTACCCTAGGGTAGGCCACATATCAGATGTAGGGATACACTGGAAGATAAGACAGGAGCCCCAGGAACAAGGACAAACTCAGCTCATCTCAGAAACACCCACATAATTACCATTATTGAAGGTTTCATCAAGAAAACTGGAAGGGGGCATAGAACTTAAAGTCCCAAGGGACTCAACCTTGATGCATTGGGACAGCCTCCCAGAGAAAGTGACATCCAAGTTGAGACCCAAAGAACGTGCTGGAATCCATTAAGTGAGGGGAAGGAAGGGTTGTGCCCCAGCCTTGAGCCAGAACATGGTATTAACACTTGAGCTTCCTTCTTAAGAACGGTGGGACAGGGGTAGGCAAGATGAGACAGGAGACCTGTTAGGGGGTTTTACAAGGATTGAGATTAGGTGAAACCTAAGAACTCAAGGGATAACTGGAGCACAAAATCTCCAGATCTAGGCGCTGGATCAGATGGAGAGCTGGGGAGTGGGGCTGATGATCAGTACCCAGTTTCGGATGAGCTATGATCTCCTAAGAAGTGGGGCTCAGGAAGATGATGGTTTAGTGTTGGGGGGACAAAATGAAACGAGGTTCAAGAGACGTCAAGTCTGTCTTAAGAGTTTGGGAAAGTTCTCCAGTGAAAGACCAAATGAAACCAAGGTTGCAGACCTAGAATCCCAGGGAAGCATCCTCTTGGTCAGAAGTTCTCCAGTGAAAGACCAAATGAAACCAAGGTGCAGACCTAGAATCCCAGGGAAGCATCCTAGGGGGTGGCCTAGGCCAGTTCCTGACCTCAGTCCAGGAACTGCTCAGAGGACCACGCACAGCCCATGTGCCCCAAAGGGTGGAGGGCTCTTTTATCTTCTCGGGTCCTACCTTCAAAGAAACTTCAAAAGTATAAAGGAGATAACACAGGCATGAAGACCTGTGTTTGGAACAGACTCAAAAGGCTTAAGGTGACTCCCGGCTCACTGCCAAAGCCAGCCTGGTTAGAGATTCCATGGCACTGATTATAAAACAACAGACAAATCCACATTCTGGCCAGCTGCCAGTAAAGGCCAAGCCTTCCACTTTCCTTTAGGAAACAACATGGAGCTGTTCCATTTGATGGTGCATAGTACAATAAAGGCCACCAGAGTCTTAAGGAAATAGAAAATGCTTATAATCACACATACTCTGTGTCCAGTCTGAAATTTTTAGCAAGTGGTCAGACTCTAAATACACAATCGATAGTCTCTGAAACAAAGGTGTAATTCACAAAGCCAAGAGCTGATGCATTTAGAGTTTATCCTGAACTCCCTAAATCACTTCAGAGGAGTTTAAGTAGATTGAAATAGTGTTAGCTAAAGAGTAAGGAAATTTTCCTAGTATCAAAACTCTATCAAGGCTCAAGGGCAATTATTCAGAAAAAACTGTTAAGCTATTTATTAACTATATAATAGGGCCTCCGAGGGCATGAAGGTTCTGGGTACTCAGATTCCCCTCTCCACTTGGCCTGGCAGCCCACAGTATTGTGGGCAGTCCTGGCTCTCTGCCTCGGCTGCCTAACAGCAGCACCAAGCTGGGGCAGAGACAAATTCCACGTTCCTTAAAATGCTGACTTGTAGAAAAAATGAAAACTGGCCACCTGAAACTATTCAGAACTGTCTAAATATTGTTACAACTATTCTTCCCAATTAAAAAATGGCTACAAATGTCATCATAAATAGTTAAGATACGAACTTTTGAGAAATGGGTAAAAATGTGAATTTGGCAAAGTAATCCTAAAAATGCTGAAATGTTCACAAAACAGAAAACAACTCTCAGAGAGGATTAAAGAAAACATTTCCAAATAAAAGCCAAATGCTTCATTATATTCACAATATATTCTTTGTTAAAAAAAACAAAAAACACTCCTTCATTTGATCATTAAGCTTTTAACAGATTAGAAAATTCTTAAAATGCTAACCTAGTCATATGTGCTGAATATTTGTCAAGCATAATGTTTTATAAAACATGTTTCTGGTAAACACACATCCACTAAATAAGAATTAAAATCATAAAAGAGCTCTAGGGAAATTATGACATGCAGCCAGGCTGGAAATTGGTTCTAAAGGTTCCTATGTGTGGTGGGTAACTATTCTCGGATAGGGGACAGAGAAGGGAGTGCAGAGGAGTGCTGGCAGGGCCACCCACCTCCATCCATGTGCTTCAGTGCCTTCTCAGCTTCATCTGGATTCTCAAACTCCACATATGCATAGCCTTTAGACAGATGAGGATGCATCCTTTCTACAGGCATGTCAATCATTTTAATTTTCCCATAGGTGGAGAATATCTCCATGATATGATCCTAGAGGGAAAGAAGGGTCACTCTAATGCTCAAGCACCTTGTGTAAGAGTCAAAGAGAATTCACTACATAATGACAACAACTTTGGCATCTGGAGGTACACCTCCTAGACACAAACATATATTCCATTAAAAGGAATTAATTAGTGCTCTACTTGAATCACGTACCATCATACTAGTCCTCCGAAAGGCTACATTCTAAAAATTGGCCAAAGACGCTAGCCTCTGGTCCGCTGGATAGTCGGGATTCCTCACCTTGGTCACATTCCTGGTGAGCCTCCCAATATGCACTTTGGTGGGTTTAGGGGAAGGGCTCCGCCTCTTCCTTTCCTTTTCATCTCTTTTGGGTGGTTTGGATCTGATTGAAAAATAGAAAACACCAGAAACAAGTAATTTCTGTAAAGTTAATTATTTTTAGTGGGGATGTTAACTGCTAGTATTAGTTGGTTTTTTTTGTTTTGTTTTTAGGAAGCTTTTCCTACCAGTTCATGCACATTATCCCTGTCTTAGAAATCTTATCAAGACAGAAAGACTCCTTTTGGGTCAACTTCTATAATAATTACAGTAACTTTATAGCCCTTTTTAAGTTTGTAAAGTTAAGTTCACAGATAATTCACAAGCTTTGGTGAGAAATGGTGCCGGAGGGCAGCTCACTTGGAGCGGGAACGCCGCCTGTTGTCATGTCTGCGCCGAGAAGGACTTGGAGAGCCAGAAGAGCTGCTGGAGCTGGAGCTGCGGGATGTGCTGGAACTCCCTGAGCGGCTTGATGCTGATGAGGAGCTAGAGCCACTGCTTGAGCCAGTGCTGGTGCTGGAGCCCGAGCTGGAGGTAGAGCTGGACCGAGATCTGAGGGGTGAGAGGGAGTGGGGTCAGAGACAACAGCTGGTGGGAGCAGCATTTCTTCAGCATAGACGACCCTGCATGAGCTCCCGAAAGGGAACAGCTGTCCCAATATTTCCAAGCCATACTGCTTTCCCCAGAGGGGAAAACATTAATAGCCTCCCCATTCCCCGAAGCCAAAGCCCTAGGTAAGGACAGAAGACAGCATTCACATTGTATGGTGACAGGAAAGAAAGAACAAGCTGCTCCCTACTAACAGGGAAGCCTTCCCTACTGGGAGGTAAAGAAAGAGCCTGGCAAGTCGGAGTCACCAACTCAGTTTAGAAGGTGACTACTGATTGACTGACTGAGGCTGGTTTTCAACAGAAAGAAAAATAAGTTCTGGGCTAGGGTAATCCAAGTCTAAGTGAATAAAAAGAGCTTGAGAGAAAAATATATCCCAAGAGGTCCTATTCCTTAACATCTGAAGAAAAGAAAACCCCCCCAAACCATCTTCTGTATATAATCAGAGCAAACCCCAAACCAGTCTGCCATAATTATGATTCTTAATTAATAATGTGATAGTGTGTTTTCTTTATAAATAAGAAGACAGAGCACTCTCCATGCTCTTCAGGAGGGTGGAGGGACGTGGCCTCTGAATACTACTACCCCACCTGGTGCTGCTGCTACCGCTTGAAGCGCTGCGCCTCTTTCGAGTTTTATCCCTGCCGCGATCCTTCTCGCTTGTCTCCTTGGTGGCCCCTTTATCTTTAGAACGATCCTTGGACTTCTCATCAGAGCGGTCTTTGCGTTTGGTAGGAGAAGGAGCCCTGGGTAGTGAGGAAGAGTGTGAGATCGCACGTCCCTTTGACCAAACCCTGAAACAACAGCACAACCCAAAAGAGGGGATCCATGGGGCCAGAGATCCCAGGCCATGACAGAGCAAAATGATCTGTGGCTTAGGACACTTTCATTGTGCAATGCAAGGCATTTCCAATCTTCCCCTTTCTGAGGGTCCCTAGCAACAAGCACCCCCAAAGTAGCACTAGAAAAATCTGACAGGATTACCTAGTGCTGGACTTTTTATTATTTTCTTTGACTCCTAGCAAGCTCTTCTTTTTCACTCCTGATAAATCCATTCTCCCCTTCTGAGGTGTTCAAAGCAGCAATGGCGGCCTCACTTATCTGAACTCTCACTTCTAACTCGAGTCTGAGAAACGATCCCTAATCGATTGCAATTTACGCCAAAGTGCAGCCTGATAACAAGATAAAAGGATTTATAGAGTGAACGAATTGGCAAGGCAACAAATCTACTTTGCAGTCAAAAGTTGAGCACACAAGATGGCGGCAAGGAACACAGTAAGTAGCGAGCGTCCACAAGGCCAGGAACACGCTGCGGACCTTCACCATTTCCTTAAGGAGGATCCCACCCCCATAGGAAACACAGGTAGAACTGTCGCCCCAGCTTGTCTTTTTCTTAAGGAATCGATGGTGGTGCCGGTCACTGTTACTTTACAGATGGTATGATACCGGTTTTTCACTCAAGTTTCATTATGAGTCCTCTACAGTCCCTTAGAAATACATCACATTCACATGCAGAACAGAGAAAAACCTAAATAAGTGTGGCTCGCCTGATAGGATTAGATCTCGTTTTATTGTAATTTCCTTGTAGGACATTTTAGATATACGTTACGACTAGAAGCAAAAAAAAAAAAAAAAACATTTTAAAAGGAACTAGCATCAAAACATTCACTACCCAAATGTAAACAGATAAAAAGCAGTAAAACAATGTTAAAAAGTAGTTGTAAATATTGAACTTTGGTTAATGATGTGCACATGGAAGCATTACAGGGCAGAGGTCCCCAATCCCTGGGCCAAGGACTGATACCCTTGAGTGGCTTGTTATGAACCCAGCCACACAGCAGGAGGTGAGTGGAGGGCAAGCAGCAAAGAAGCCTCATCTGTATTTGCAGCCACTCCCCACCGCATCGCTGCCTCAGCACCACCTCAAATCATCAGGCATTAGATTCTCATAGGAGCACCGGTTCCTGATGCCAAAAAGGTTGGGGACCACTGTTATAGGGGAAGTATACCAAAGCCTGTAATTTACTTTGAAATTCAAGGAAAAAAAAAAAAAAAAGATTGATGGGTGGGGCTAGATACATAAAGCAAATATGGCAGAAATGTGACTTAGAATCTAGGTGGTGGTGATGTGGGTACTCACTGTATAATTCGACTTTTCTGTATGTTTATATTCTTTGAAAAATAAAACGTCAAGGAAAAAAAGTAGACATTGGAATTGGATGTGATACCACACGTAAGGGTTTAGCAAAGTGCCAGGATTGCAGCATGTGCTCAATAAATGGTCATTAGTAAATGTTACTCAAGAACAAACTACTAATTCGTTATATGCCCTATTTCCGGGAGATTGCTGCCTCAGTAATTCCAGTGAAGTTTTGTACAATTTGCTTGAGTTGTAAGCAAAGATCTCAGGATGTCAGTCTTAATCACTTCTGTCCCACCTTTCTCAACCTGTAAGTAACCTGGACACAGCACAACAATTGGGATTCTGTTTTTGAGTGCAAGGGTGCCCAAAATGCTGAATAGTATTCTGACTCAAGAACGAGTAACCAGCTTTGGACAATCAAATGAGAGTGGAAGAGAGCAGAGAGTATTACCCTTGCTCCTCTTTCCCAGGGCTGTAAAATCTTTAAGACATTTTACCTTAAAATGATAAGGTATTATAGATACCAAATTGGCAACACCAGGTAAGGTTAGCATCCTTGGACAATCAGTAAGAAAAATTCAGTGGTTCAGTGGTTTAGTCTGGAGTCAGCCAGCCTGGGTTAGCTTTGCTGTATGACCTTTGACAAGTCACTTAATCTTTCTGAGCCTCAATTTCTCACCACCACTATGATGACAGTTCCTATGCCTGTTATCAAGGATATTCATTAAATCAACCCATTAGACTTGCCACCTAGTTATAGCTCAATAAATGTTTGCTGTTAGAAGGGCTGTTTCTCCATGTTTGGAGGCTTTTCTCACATATACCCTAGTCTCCAAAGTCACATCTCTCTCAATGTTTAACAGGGATTCCTGGATGGCCATTAGGATCAACGAGGGCAGTATTGTCCAATAGAGTGCAAGCTTCAAACATATCCTAAAATTTTCTATTAGCCATATTACAAAAAGTAGAAGTTAATGGTAAAGTTAACTTTTAGTAATGTATTTAACACGCTATACTCCAAATATTATCTTTTCAACATATAATCAGTATATATAAAATTTTATTAATAAAATATCTATCCTCCCACTGAGTCTTTAAAACACCTCAACTTAGGCCAGGAGTATTTCAAGTGCTCAATAGTCATATGTGGCCAATGGCTACCTTATGGAACAGCATTGACCTAGAGGGCAGATTCCTGGGCCCCATCGCAGTCCTAAAGATCTGCTCCAGTGTACTTTGTGAAAATAAGCACCACCAGTTATTCTTAAACACTCTAAAAATTGAGAACTACAGAGTAAACGAACACTTTGCTGGGTGTGGTCGAATGCTAGAAAGCAAAAGTTGAGGTTCCTCGTTTACATAAGTTCAGGTAACAGCACAGGACCTTGATTACCTCCCCCATCCTCCGGAAAGGTGCGCGTCCAACAACCAAAGAGAGGAAAGAACAATTAGTTAA